TGTTGTTTTTTGTTTTTTTGTTTTAAATTAATTATACAAAAATTATTGTCATGAATGATGCAGTATAGTATTTTATTTTTATATAGATACTAAGGCTTTCAAACGATTAATCGCGATTATTCGCATCCAAAATAAAAGTTTGTGTTTACATAATATATGTGGGTGCACTGTGTATAATTATTTTGTATATATAAATACACACACAGGCTTGTATATATTTAAGAAAAAAATATTGTTTATATATAAAATATTTATATTTATATATAATATAAATTATAAGTAAATCTATATAGAGTATATACGTCATGAAAATATTGTGTGTGTATTTATATATATATAAAATAATCATACACAGTGCACCCACATATATTATGTAAACACAAACTTTTATTTTGGATGCGATTAATCGTTTGACAGCCCTAATAGATGCTAAAATATTTTTCTTTTTTTACAGTTTTACTGTTAAATAAAATCACTGTATTGTGTGCTTAATGATATTATTTATTTATTTATATATATATATATATATATATATATATATATGATCACATCACATGAAATGCTGTGATCAGGCGCTGGTGTTCTCATCGCTGTCCGTCAAAATAAAAGTCCTGCTTCCAAGACTTCGGCCAATCAGAAAAACTGATCGGCCGGTATTTAAAAAATGCTAATTATCGGCCGATGTGTCAGCCTCGGCGATAAATATTGTTCGACCACTTAAAGATTGAGCAGTTTTTTATTTAACATGCTGTATTCATTTAAAATGCCTTTCAAGGGAATTTGCCACTTGACAATCCCTTTCACGTTCGCCATCGAGGATTCTCCTGTAGGATTAATGTTTATTAAAGGGGCTGGTCATCTTCACAAGGGCAAATATAATATGTCAGTTAATCCATCATCAGTTGCTTCCCTCCCTGTTCTGATCAGTGATCACATGATTTGTTGTATACAGTGTTACATAATTTACACACTATCTGTCTAATCTTAGCAATAGCATATATGAAGTATCGGTTTAATTTTCTGCTGAATGGCTCGGGGAAACCCGTTTGCCAGAAACAGGATGTCTGACCAAAGTTGCAGAAACAGACTTGTGTTTTTCTAATTATAACCGCTGTAGAATTATGAAGGACGGCCACATGTATCCTGTCCTGCTAGACTATACATTTATCTGAATCAATAGCCCTTGAGTCTATTTTTACTGCCATCCCTCTGTATGTTTAGCAGACTGTTACTGTAAATATGAGATCAGACTCTTCAGGTCGATTTCAACTGGTTGCAGATTATTTCTCACTAAGAATAAGTGCTGCCACTAATGAGGTAAGCAGAGTTTGACTTTAGAAATTGCAGGAATAGATGTAGTAGTAATATCCAACCACAATAGAAAAAGGCTTTGTGGAAACACTGATCGTAACTTAAGGATAGTTCATTATCTGTTTCTAAACAATGTGTTTAGGCACTTATTTGTATCGCTATAACATTAATTTAAGGTGCAGAACTTTATTGAGTCATGAACAATTCAGTTATGAATTAGTGGGACACATGATCAAACAAACTCGTGCCATTTACTGTTTTAATAATGTTTTCTACTATGGCAGAAGAAAAAGTGATGGGTGTGTGAAGAGCAGTAAAAAAAAATTCCTCATAAGGACTCATTTCTCTTTTCTGTTATTTATATCCTCACTTCCACATAAAACATGGAAATCCCTGTGCTTATCAACTAAATGTCTATACTGAAGTGTCCTCTTTTTTTAGCTTTTAGCTAAGTTAGCTTATATTTTTTATGATCCATTTTCTTATAAATTTTTTTAATAAAAAAAATAGTTATACGCTTTTCATATGCAGTATATATACATGTGGGTGCACTGTGTATAATTATTATATATATATATATAAATACACACATGCTTGTATATATTTAAGAAATATTTTCATGTATATACTGTATATAGATTTATTTTTTTAAATATTTTTTTTCTTAAATATACATACATGTGTATATAGGGCTGTGCAAAAGTTAATTGCGATTAATCGCATCCAAAATAAAAGTCTGTGTTTACATAATATATTTGTGTGTGCTGTATATAATTATTTTGTATATATAAATACACACACATGCATGTATATATTTAAGAATTATTTGCGCTTAAATTCTGTATATATTTATAAATACATAATCTATATTATATAAATATAAATATTTTATATATGAATAACACATTTTCTTAAATGTATACATGCATGTGTGTGTATTTATATATACAAAATAATTATATACAGCATACACAAATATATTATGTAAACACAGACTTTTATTTTGGATGCGATCAATCGCAATTCATTTTTGCACAGTCCTAATATATACACACAAAATAATTATACAAAATGCACCCACATAATGTAAATACAAACTTTTATTTAGGATGCAATTAATCGAGATTAATCGTTTAACAGCATACACACACACACACATATATATATATATATTCAAGTTTAATTGATTGTTTTAGTTTATATACCAGAGGTTAAGTGATTCAACATTTCAACTTTTTTCAGTTATTTGCCAAGGCCAATCTAATTTCCTGATCTTTGTTTAATTTAGTTTTGTTTATATCAGCCTAATTTCAACGAACAAAAAAGTTTTTAAAAGTATGTTTTAGTTAAGTATGTTTATCAGACCCTCATTTTAAAAAAAGTTTCAGTCTTTAGTTTAGTTTTTGCACGTTTGCAGATAATTTAAGAACTATTTATTTATTTGGAAATATACAAAAATAAGGTTATAATATATAGTTTATTAATAATAATAATTAATAAGACTTTTTTTGTATTATTCTACTACAGTAAAATATAGACTAAATTGGGCTATACGATGAAAACCAATGCCCCTTTTTCACTTCCAGTTCACTCTATAAATATTTTCTACTCCATTATTTAACATGGCTGTTTATATAAATTAGATGTACTGTTATGTACACTGAGGCTCACTGGCATAGTGTGACAAGGCACAGAAAGGGACATTGTGTCTGTCTTTCTAAAAGTGAAAACCAGCCTCTCTTAAATAATCTGTAGAGTGTGAGTCTCAGACGAGTGTGTGTGTGTGTATATATATATATATATAGACGGACACAAGATCTAAGAGGAGAGAGCCAGGGGATTTCCAGCGAGACTGCCTGAACTTGACCTGCAATTTGAAGGTCCTCCTGTTGTATGTGGCCTATGACCTTCAGGCAATGAGAGAGCCTTGAGGTGAAGATTGCATATCACAAAAGTTACAGTGAAATTATATACCTTTCCCAGACGGCGCTGACCCAGATGCACCTTTCTGTAAACTTATCTGTGATATTGTCTGAAAATAGCATGTAGCGCATTAAAATGCATGACATGGTGTCGTTGTTTAAGGAATCACAATGCTCTAAGAATAGAGTACTCACAGAAAACTCACACTGGAGAATATATTTAGTGAAGCTTTACTTTTCTAACATTGGCAGTCTTTGCTGTTGTTCTGCTAATTTATAAGCATAAAAAGCTTGTTTTGATGTCTCTCTCTCTCTCTCTCTCTGAAGGGTTTTGAGCTCTATCAATGGCTTTGCAGAACTATAGAGCTGTTTAATTCACAGCAGCAGACTCTCTCTAGCCACAAATGTGTGTGTGTGTGTGTGTGTGTGTGTGTGTCTCTCTTTCCCAGGCTATTTGTGAATACAGACTTACAGGGCCATTCACTGTGCTCTTATGGATTGCTTGCCGATCTCCCTGACACTACACTATAAAGGTTTCTCATATAAAAGATGTTGAACTGTGTGTGTGGCACTCCTGCAGCTCTATATGCGAGACCACAGAGCAGAGTAAAAAAAAAAAACAACAACATAAAAATGCAATTGTATCAAAAATATATGGTTGGGTAATATATTGATTTGTTAACATTAACTAATAAATTATTAAAATCAGTTATCTGTTAATTAGGGCTGTCAAACGATTAATCGCGATTAATCACATCCAAAATAAAAGTTTGTGTTTAATATATGTGGGTGCACTGTGTATAATTATTTTATATATATATATATTAATACACACGCATGCTTGTATATATTTAAGAAATATTTTCATGTATACACTGTATATATATATTTATATATCATTTATATTATATATATTTTATATATAAACAATATTTTTTTCTTAAATATACATGCATGTGTGTGTATTTATATATATAAAATAATTATACAGAATGCACCCACATATATTATGTAAACTTTCATTTTGAATGTGATTAATCGCGATTAATCGTTTGACAGCCCTATTTAATAGACCTGAGCTAACATAAACTAAGTTGTATTTGTATTAACTCATGTTAACAAATATTAATAGGCTAAATCAAATGCATTGCTCATTTAATGTTAGTTAATACATTAACATTAGGACCATACTGTTACTAGTATATTATGGATTGAATACTTCAATCATTATATCAATTAACTTTCATGTAGCAATTTCCTATTTCAACTTTATTATTATAATAATTTCCGTCTTTCTTTGTGGATGGCAAAAACAGTATTTAAAATGGAGTAAAATAACAATAGTGCAAATTAAGTAAAACAAAATACAACAAATAAAATAATTAGGCTATATTACATAAAACCAAAAAAAAAAGGATACAAGATTAAAAGGGATAGAGTAAAGCTGATTCAATATGCCAATGACTGTAATGGCAATATGAACATATTGTATATGAACGTTCTCTCTCATTCACTTTAGAGTCTCATGATGATGTAGACGGCTGTGATTTGTTTACTCCGCCCCTCCGTCCAGCCCCAGTATTTTGATTGGCTGTCTATTATTAATCCACAGGTCCCTGGCAGCGTAACAAACAGAGAAAACTGCTCTCTCCATCGCTCTCTCTCTCTCCCTAAAACCTGTTAGCGGCAGGACGATTAGAGAGCGTGTGTGTAAGAGCTTATCCCCCCCCCCCCCCCCCCAACCAACCAAACACACACACACACACACGCACGCACAGGTCGCTACAGAATTGCGTTCTGGTTTAAGCAGTTGCCCTGGGGCTTTTTCTCCCTTTAACTCCACCGTCTGTTGCTTCCACCTGCACATTGTGTGTGTGTGTGAGGGGTGTAACCTGATGCCGGTGGAGTTCGTGTGTCTGCCTGTCCGTGTCTGTTGGGAGATGAGGATATGTGAAGTGCGTTGACGGACAGTTTAGCCTGGGTAATGCGCGGCTACTTGCGTGAGGATGAAGCCCCAGAGATAAAGGCACCTGAGGCAGGAGGGTGACCGGGAAAGGTGCACTCTGAGCGGGATGGAACTCAACCGAGTGTCCCTGCTCTGTCAGGACATTACCAGACTATGGCTGCAACTGAAACTAATGACAGGTAGGCGACTGAACTGGTCTATTTATCTGTATAAATGGAGTAAAGCTATTGAAGCTGGTCAGACGTGTCCTTTTGTTTTAGAGTTTGGTGTTTATGTTTGTTTTGAATTTTTTTTTTGTATGTTTGCATATTTCACGTATACACTAAAAGGTTCTGCCTTGAATTAAGTACTTCAACTTGGATGTTTAAATCATTTCAACCTTAAATTACATTAAAACTGACTTAAAAAATGAGTTGAATCAAAAAAGTGTAAAGTTGCTTAACTTATTTTGTAAAAACATTTGTCATCTTGTTGATCATATAATATTTACAGTATATCAGAGTTTATGCAAGTCTTTTATTATGCTCGCCAATGCTGCTTTTATTTGTGAACCATTCAAATTTTTACAAATAACAGTAGATTTATACAGTATTTATCACACTGTTCTTGTTCTCTTTGTATACAGTGCCTTGATCTGAAGGTTATTTTAACTTTCCCACAATTCATTGACTGGCAAGTTGCGACCCTGAATTTGAACGTAAACTCCCCCCCTCCTCCTTTATTTGCTCTCAGATCGTGAGAAGCATATTGTTTGTTGGTCAACGGTTTGTAACAGTTTCCCCCGTGTTCATTGGCTCTGGACACATGGGTAACTTTTGGCATTGGTCTGGGTTTTTGCCAACTTTCAGAACCCACTTGGACTGGCACCAGAAGTTGTTTTACATTCAAAGCTTTGCTTCAAGCCTGTCAATATGCACAATATGCACTGTGAATGCTCATCATGGACAAAATTTCACTGTGTATGACAAGTAATGGAAAAAATTTGCTATTGAATCTAGACTGGCATGCTTTCAATGTAACTATGACCTTAGGCTATATAAGACATGTAAGTTGCTGAAGAAAATGAGAGCAGGTTTAATAAGGGAAATGTCAAACAAGAACACAGATACCTGAGTGGTTCAGGGTGTATTTTTTACCATTTATAGGGTGGTGTCCAAGAACACACTGTGTGTTTGCCATTTAAAGGAATACTCCACTTTTTCCATAGTATATATTTTTTCCAACTATGGAAGTCAATGTGACCAGAAACTGTCTGGTTACTGAGATTCTTCTAAATATTCTTCTAAAATCACATTGGATTCGAAAACGTAAAATGAGCCTATTTCCAAAAAAAAAAAAAAAAAAGTGGAGTATCCCTTTTAAGAGTACGTGGGGTGTGACTGTCTCTATTATATTTGAGTCGTTTCTGTTCTTTCTAGAGAGTGTGTATTTGATCCACTTTACGTATGATAATATGTGCTCTTGCATGATTTTAATTACAGTTTTACATTTTCTGGATGATATTTGAATTGTGTTTGCTTACGCAAAACTCATCGTCACGATGCTAGGGTGGATAAATGCCAGGGCATTCCTGAGCAGTTGCTAAGGTGAAAGGTTTTCAGTATGTTGCTGTGCAGTTGCTCCTAAAATGTGTATATGTATATTTTATAATCCACCAGATGAAAAGTCACTTTCTATGGAAGAGGATTAGGGCCAAGCAATAATAAAAAAAAAAAATAAAAAATAAAAAATAATAAAAAATAAAACTTTAATCTCAAGATTAAAGTCATTATAATGCGAGATTAAACTCGTTAAATTTCGAGAAAAAAGTCTAAATACAATCTTGAGAATAAACTCATTAAATTTCGAGAAAAAAAGTCGAAATACAATTTTGAGAATGAACTCATTAAATATCGAGAATAAAGTCGTGTTTCGAGAAAAAACATTAAATTTCGAGAAAAAAGTCGAAATACAATCTTGAGAATAAAGTCGTTGTATTTCGAGAAAAAACTCGTTAAATTTCGAGAAAAAAGTCGAAATATAATTTTGAGAACCTCATTAAATATCTAGAATAAAGTCGTTGTGTTCCGAAAAAAAACTCTTTAAATTTCGAGAAAAAAGACGAAATACAATCTTGAGAATAAACTCATTAAATTTAGAGAAAAAAAGTTTAAATAAAATCTTGAGAAAAAACTCATTTAATATCGAGAATAAAGTCGTGTTTCGAGAAAAAACTTGTTAAATTTCGAGACAAAGGTTGAAATACAATCTTCAGAATAAACTCATTAAATTTTGAGAAAAAAAGTCGAAATAAAATCTTGAGAAAAAACTCATTAAATTTCGAGAATGAAGTCGTGTTTTGAGAAACTGTCTCCATGGTTACTTTGTAACATTATACACTTTGTAACATTGTTAAATTATAATGACTTTAATCTCGAGATGGTTTTATTTTTTTATTATTGCTTGGCCCTAATCTTCTTCCGTAACTTTCTAAGTAATAGAAAGTTAAAAAATTTGAATAATCCATAACTCGAATGGATGGGATGGGTTGCACACCCGCTACCATTCAAAAATATTTTTAATATGAAGTCTTTCACCAAGACTGCTTAAAATACAATACAACAGTAATATTGTGAAAAATAGTTGCAGATTAAAATTAAATGTTTTCTATTTTAAGATATTTTAATTTATTACTGTGATGGCAAAGCTGAATTTTTAGCTTCATTACTCGAGTCGTCATTGTCTCATGATCCTTCTTACTTACTTACTCACTCAAGAATTGTTTCTTTTTATAATCAATGTTCATATATTTTTAGGGAAACTGTCTGTAATACAAGATTCTTTACAAAGTTGAAAAGTCTTTACTGTCACCTTTGATCAATATTAATTGAATAACTTTTAAATGGTAGAGTCTTACCGTAGACTTAATAGTACAAGCAACAATAGTGATGCTTGCATAAATGTTTACAGATGGTTATATTTTCTCATTGTTCTGGTTGACTGCACAGGGTTTGTCATGACAATTTTTCTCACTATGATGACTTGGTAACCATCTATCTAAATACGTCCAGTATGGTTGTTATATATGTGGCCATCTACAGTGGTTTTGTTGGCTTCAAGCCCAGAAACTTTTAACTCTCCAATATCATCACTGAGAGAGAAAATAGAAGATTGTAATATCATACCCCGTAATCAGTCACATTCTGCATTTATTTACTGCTGAGAGTTTTTAAAGACTCTTTTACAGACAGACTTTTATTTTTGTCCAGTTTGGACCACAATGATCTGATATACATTCAATTACATTGTTAAAGGGATGGGCATTGGAATGTAGAAAATTTGACCCATTTGTTATTGGTGTAGGGGGGCTGTGTGTTGTCTGATTCTTATCCTTCCAGCCTGGCAGATGGAGACTCTGTATAGTGCAGCAATAATGGCAAATGTTAGTGCATGAAATACATACACATCTGACAGCACAGACGCAGCTGCCCTTTTTGTTAGCAGTTGGTGTGATTGTATAATTGATACGTTATTGTTCACATTTGTCCATACAGCTGGAGTCAGACCACATGTCTGCATACTGTACATCATTACAAACACATGGTTTCAGAGCCCTTATGACACTCAATCATGTGCAATGTTAATGTGGGACATTATTCGCTAAGTTGTTTGTGTATGTTGTGAAATAAATAATGAGCAGGTTTGTAGTTTTGCGCGGTGAAGATCAGAGATGCAATCTGTGTATGTGTGTAATGATACTGTTGTCCTCTGTAGAGCTGCTTTTTGGCTGAATTGTAAATTGAATTTGTTTCATAATTGAAAAAACTGAGACATTGTAACACTGTTATTGAACTAATTAAATCAACATTGAGCTGAATAACGACAATTGTCTTCTGTAGAGCAGCTGAAATTGAAGTAATTTCATAGTATAATTGATTGATTTGGCAACAAAATTATCTCTGTAAAGCTGCTTTGAAATAATTTGTATTGTATAAAGCAGTATATATATGGTTAAGGATCTGAACTGTGCAAATACAAATTGATGTTTGATCCCAGATTCAGAATTAATTATATCAAAGCGATTAGTTCATTCAAAAAAAAAAAAAAAAATCGGCATTATGTCATTCTAAATCTGTATGACTGACTTTATTCTGTGGGGCTTTAAACAACGTTGGACCACATTAGTGCTTTTCACACTGTGCTTAAAGGAGTAGTTCACTTTAAAAAAAACTTTTGCTGATAATTTACTCACCCCCATGTCATCCAAGATGTTCATGTCATTCTTTCTTCAGTCGAAAAGAAATTAAGGTTTTTGATAAACATTCCAGGATTTTTCTCCATATAATGGACTTCAATGGGAACCAAACGGTTCAAGGTCCAAAAGACAGTTTCAGTGCAAACTGTTCAAAGGGCTTTAAACGATTCCAGATCATGATTAAGGGTCTTATCAAGCGAAACGATTGCTCATTTAACAAAAAAATAACAAAGTTTAAGTTTTATAAGCTCAAATGTTCGCCTTGCTCTGTTCTGTGATGCGCGGTTGTGACTCTCCTGTTCGAACTCGTTTATCAAAATGAACGAATCTTTTTTCGTGTAATTTGGTTCATTCAACGAACGAAATGAACAAGTTGACTCGGGAAAAGATTTGTTCATTTTGATGAAGGAGTTCGAACAGGAGAGTCACACAGAACAGAGCAAGGCGACCATTTGAGCTTATAAAACTTAAACTTTATTTTTTTTAAAATAAGTGATCGTTTCGCTTGATAAGACCCTTATTCATCGTCTGGAATCGTTTAAAGCCCTTTGAACAGTTTGCACTGAAACTGTCTTTTGGACCTTGAACCGTTTGGTTCCCATTGAAGTCCATTATATGGAGAAAAATCCTGAAATGTTTATATCAAAAACCTTAATTTCTTTTCAACTGAAGAAAGAATGACATGGACGTGTTTTTTTTTTAAAAAGTGAACTACTCCTTTAACCCCGGGCTATCATCGTTCTAAACACCGTTTTAAACCCTGGGTAAAGGAGCTAAAGCTAGACGCTTAGCAACAGTCAACCAATTGGAGACATATTTGTGTGCTTTGTACTGTCACGGAAACACTGCACTGCACATTGTATATAAAAAGTAAATTGAGCATTCGAAAGGAAAAAATGTCAAACGCTGACAGAAAATGCAACAGTTTGAGTGAAGAAGAGACCG